ACAGAATGCCCAAATACCTCAGTCCCCAAGACATCTGCGATAATTTACTCGGTCTCACTGAGATTAACCTTAAGACCGACGCGCACCTTCGTCACCTTTCTTCGTGCCCGTCGTCGTCTTCGCAATCACAGCTCTGCTCTCTCTCAACCTCAATGATCTCGCAGCCTTGCGCCGCTGCCCTCCTCTCGCCATGCTCCTCCCCACGCTCATGCTCATCGTCAAGCTCACCCCCACCCTCACCCCCACCCTCACCATCTTCCTCACCCTCACCCTCCACCTCAACCCCTTCCATCCTTCAAACCAATCTCCAGCAGACTCTTCTAACGGCGGCATCATTCCCACTTTAATCCTTCAAAACAATCTACCCGATCACCGAATCCCTTAATCCCAATAATCGCTCTAATCGCCCTACTCCCACTCTCACCGAATCCCTTCAACCCACTTTCATCTTAATCCCTCACCCTACCTAATACCGCCTGAATACTGCTCTCACCTGAATCCTTTCCACTCTTGCTCATTCCCCTCCGCGTTCAGGGCAAGCGGCAACTCGCCACAAATTTCCAGTACTTGACTCACTCACGGTCTTCTTTGCTCCTTGATTCGCGTTGGACGCCTCTGGGAACGAAGAATTTCCTCGTAAACGTCTTCGAAGCTCAGCTTTCAAGGCGAGCGTGACTGGTATCATCCCCTCCTCCCACCCTTCTTACTGGAAGACCCCTGCTCTCTTCCCGGATGATGTCTTCGTCCTCACAGCTCTCCATCACTCCCTCGGTCACCCCGCCTTCATCTCCGGAGATCGACTTCAACCCACCACCAATCCTAATCCGCTCTGCCGAAGTACGCGCCGCATTTCTGTCGCTGCACTCAGACTCCGACGTCCCCCTCTACGACTCCGAAGATGACGGGACGCACCCTATCCCCGAGTCCCACCTGTCGCACCGTGCTCCGCAGCCCGCACAGGAGGGCAGCGCGGTCTCCACCCGCACCCGCAGCTCCAGTTTGGCCTCCCCTCCGAGCAAATCGCCGGCGCCAGTAGGCCAGTCGTCTCCGCCTTTCGTGACGTGCCCCCCCACTGCGTCCTGCAGGGATCCACCCACCTCTACTCTCCGTGCCCAAACCCCTCAAGAACTACCGCAAGATCTTGGGCGCGCAACGACGCCTCCTCGCCGTAGTCTTCGTCTCGCCTGTTTGGCTTCTGTCAGTCAAAGTCTTCCTCAATAAACGAAACGTTACCTCTCATACGATTTACAGCGAGTTATGCCCATCAACATAAAAGGGGGCCAAGCAAATTCGATGAGTTGATGTCGCAGGATTAGCGTACAGTCTTGAAATCCCCTCAACTCTTCATTGAGAATTGCTAACAGGCATGCGTACGCGTTCTCAATTTTTTAGTAGTGCTCTTTCTTCTTTCTTTTCGCAAGCTCCTGTGCCATGGCTTGGGATAACATAGATGCCTGCTGGTGCGGTGCGTGTTGAAGGTGCGGGATGATGTCTGGCATTGACTACGAGTTAGTTGGGGTTTACAATAAGTTAGTTGAGGACAAGGCGGCATGAGTTGCTCAGGGTGGAAAATACACCGATGGCGTTACTGTTCTCGAACTCATCGACATGCTTTTGATGTCTTTTCGCAATTCAGACGGCTCTCTACATGGAAACAATCATATAAGAAAACAATGCAACTGCAACTACATGACCGTGCCATATCAGTGATTTAGTTTACTGTAGTCTCCAATTGACACAAGACAGCCTCAGACCCATCCTCTCGCCTTTGGACAATTCCTCCCTCCCTTGAAAAACATTTAGAATGTTCCTCCTGCGCGAAAAGCAGTCCCCAAGTCTGCCATTCACAGGAACCGACTCATGATTTCTTGCCAATCCTCTACCCTCCCTGTATCAAGTGTGCTCCCGTCTCCACCTCCCAAACCCGCACGCTCTTGTCCCACGATCCCGATACCACACGTCTTCCGTCCCCACTTATCGCAACGCTAGCCACGACATGCGTGTGTCCAGCGAACGGGCCCCCGACTTGTGCTCCTGTCTCCACGTCCCAAACCCGCACGCTCTTGTCCCACGATCCAGATACCACACGTTTTCCGTCCCCACTTATCGCAACGCTAGCCACGAAATGCGTGTGCCCAACTAACGGGCCCCCGACTTGTGCTCCCGTCTCCACGTCCCAAACCCGCACGCTCTTGTCCCACGATCCAGATACCACACGTCTTCCGTCCCCACTAATCGCAACGCTTATCACACCACACGTGTATCCAACTAATGCCTCCCCGACTTGTGCTCCAGTCTCCACGTCCCACACCCGCACGTCCCTGTCTACGGATCTAGATACCACACGTCGTCCGTCACAACTCATCGCAACGCAACTCACTCCCGACCTATGACCGCAGAAAATTCTCAGTACTTTCCTCTCCGATGTACTCCACAGCCTTAACGTCCCGTCTTCGTATCCGACAATCACAAACCTCTTCCTCACACAGAAAGTTGCGCAGGTGGCTGTCGTCACGCTCGGTCTTTCTCCAGTCACTTTGGATGTTACACTTCCAATGCACATCCGAAAATATGCCCCCATACGCCCACCCCTTCTGTCCCTGCGTACTTCAATGTCCCCTGGCCCCTGGATCTCCGGTTCGAACTCGCCTCCTAATCGAACTAGCTTCGTCTTCTTCTCAGCAGATTGCGTGAAAACTGTTACTTTCGCCCCGTACCGCTCCACCTGACATCCATACACTTCACCCCTGGAATCCATGCCGACTTGACTGTCTCCGCAATAGTCAGATGGGAGGACAATCTGGTCTACCAACCTTGCATCGGCTGGTGCCACACACCCACTCATAACAGACTCTCGTTTCATATGTGTGGGTGGGGGGGTAGCGAGAGGTAGATGAGAGATGATGCCTAGATTTTACCGCGATTATATACAGTCAAGGGAGTAGGGAGATCAACGGGACTAACTGGGATTAGCCTTTATCGTGGGATTAGCCTTTATCATGGAATTAGCCTTTATCGTGGGATTAGCCTTTATCGTGGGATTAGCTTTTATCGTGGGATTAGCCTTTATCGTGGGACTAGCTATTTTCACGTATGATACTCGTCAGAGCTGCTGCCGAATAGGGTGCGCCGATGTGTCCCTAAATCTATGAAAGTGGCCATACAAGTCCAGATCCTCATACTGTACCCATATTCGGTGATGCGCTCCCGTAACCTCCAATTTTCAAGAAATATCCGTTCTAGTCAACCAGATGCCATGCAACTTGCAGTCATTTTCATCGCGTCCAGGGCCTAACGCGATGGTGTAAATTTATATTATTAGGCTGATGCAGCATATATAATTTGGCTATGTCGAGAGGTGCATGGAATTTGCTTCTTTGTATCTTGATTGATCTATAAGGAATGATTGTATATGTCGAGAGGTGCATTGAATTTGCAGCTTTTAAAATTCTGCCACGATTTTGACGTTACTCATCTCGAAATAAAGAACAGTTCATTTTTGCGGATTCAACGTTCACTAAATTTATAATCCTGAATCCCTCAAAACCTGGCTGGGAATATCACAAGATCAATTTATGCTGATTTGTTCACGATTAAACATGATCTTTGCTACTGATTTGTTTCTTACTAGATTCATTGGTCTATAAAGATACATACATGTTTAGTCGAATTCCATTCATTACCGTTAGCTTTATCGTGAGATGTACTGAAGTTGCTTCGTCACTAATGGATTGACCTTTACAGATAAATCTATTTTTAGTACGATGCAGCGCGTAAACGTTAAATGTATCGAGAGGGGCACTGTAGTTGCAAGAGGTCTGTAAGTTTTTGTAGTTCGTAGGACAACTATTGCTAAACGTCTTCTGATTGTGAACTTTGTGATTGAGGGTCTCTCACGATGCGTACATTTGAAATACGTCACATCCTGTCATATTTGACAACTATGCTATTGATAGTGGTACAGTTCGGAGAGTTATTTTAAAGTGGGAATGAGTCTATTTTTAATAACTAATGTAATCTGATTACAGTTTTTTGATGTCTCTACATAGTGCAGATTTTTATAACGATTTTTGTACCCGAATATGAGAATTCTGACATCCCCGTGAAATCCTTTGTTTGGATGCACACCCGTACCTTTCGAAGGGTAGCTTATACCAAAATGAATCTATGTTTTAGTTTTATATTTGTCGTCAGACGAGATGGTTCATGCAGTGAACGTCAATTGGCCCTACTAAGCGTGGCTATGGCGGCTTATGATAGCTGATATGTTTTCTCTGTACGTACTCTGCATTTTAATTATATTTTAAAACGTGGACCTCCCGCGACAGGTTTCTAACTGTCGTAATTTATAGGCTGAAGAGAAATGCAAAAGGTGATTACTACAGTATTAGCGCGTAGCGGTTTCCGAAACGGTGGCTGTATTGCTAAACGGAATTAAAATAGAATGCATGACTACAGTATACTGTACTGGGGAATGGGTACAGAGCTGCAGTTGTGGGCTGAAAGACGGTGTGCGTCCCCCTCTCCCCTTGGCGGATAAGGTCGACGTGGTTCATGTACGATTCTTCGACCACGGAGGAGAGGGACGTCGAGTTTACACATGCATCCATCCCGTTCGCGACGACAATCAAAGAGCCACAGAGGGCGAGTGAAATGGAGAGACTGCGTGAAAAGTGCATGAAGCCCATTGCGGCGTCTCTTGCTTCGCGGCAAATCGCTGGGTTTCTAAACTTGCAAAAACAAGCTCTGCAGAGCGAAAGGTTGGAAGGCAAAGCGTGAACGAGGTGGCTTCTCTATAGAACTCAGAAGGAAGTCGCAATCGGCAACAAAATACTTTTTGTGCTACTTCATTTCATGAAAGATGAACAGCTGCAGTGCCCGAGAGGCGACTGAATACTCGAGGCTTATCATTTGGAAAGATGGCGCGGCTCTCTCCCTCGTTTCTGTGCTCACGCCCGGCTTTCTCTCGTCACCCCTAAACCGTTTGCGTTGACTCTCTGCATTTCCAGGAAATAATATTGTAATGCCCTCCTCCTCACGTCCCTCCGGGTCCTCTCACCAAACATTCGCAACGGATGACTCTCTCCCGTAGTCAAACCCGTAAGCCTGCGCCTGCACCACCTGCGCAAGGTCGTCGGCATTGCACTCCTTCTCATTGCAGCACATGCAGCACATCTCGTTAGCGACCGCCCTCTAAACCGGGCTCTCCCCGCCGACCACGCATGTACTCGAACAGCAATACAGCCTCGGGTCCTCCGCCTGCACGAGCCTGCTCACGTTGCGAAACCCGGCACTACAGTTGCGCGCGCCCCCCGCCACGCCCTCCTTCCCCCTCCCCCCGTAAAACTCGCTGTACGCGTGCAGCGACGCGTTGCGCCCCACCACGTCCTGCATGTCCTCCGCCCGAACCCCCGTGCTGTTCCACGTCACCCACCATGCCTTCCCGCACGAGTTCACCGACGCCATCCGCCTGACCAGCTCCGGGAAGAAGTGCTCGCTGCTCCTGACCATCTCCCAGACGTCCGTGATCGCCGGGAACTCAGCCACCATGGCCGACCGTGGCCCGGTCCCCATCTTCTTCGGCGCCACGTGCGCACGCGTCATGTACCCGTCGACGTAGGACGCCGGCACCCGCACGCGGTCCCCGTCCATCCGCTTGCACCGCGCCGCCACGTATGACATCCGCACATGCTGCCGCAGGATCCCCGCCGCCGCCTCAGTCTTCCCACCGATCAGATAGATCTGATGACAGATTCCCACCACGTACGCCGAGAGCGTCGTCGCTGGTAGCCATAAACCGTTGGCGTCCATCTTTTCCTCAAACTCTTCGCACATGCGCGCTTGGTCCCGGTCGTAGCGCATTGTCTCGTCGGAGGGGAAGTCCGACCCCGCCCAGCCTTCTTGCGTGATGTTTCCGACTCTCGACAGTGTCACGCCTCATGCCTCAGCCACGCCCTTGCGCTGCAGCTCCCGCAGCACGGGGAGGTCTTCGCGCCGCTCCAGCGAGCAGAAGAGCCTCTCCGCCGGGGGGAGGAGCAAATCCTTGGCCACGATCTCCGCCAGTTGTTTTGACAGGTACCCATTGTCTTGTGTGAACACGCTGTTGCGGCAGGTTTCGTCGATCTCGGACTGGAACTCCCACGCACGCACACTCCGGGGCTGCCACGGCTTTCAGAGCTAGGTCGTAGAAAAACTTAACCATTTCCATCGGAATCCCCCCGCGCCGTAAAGTAGATGTATGCTGTAAAAATTGGCGACATACAATTGAAATCTGCAACATTTATTGATGTTTTTAATATTATTATAAAGGTGACCGACGCCGTCGCTGGTGTCCGACGCCTCTCCCACGAAAACGCAAAATTCGCGCCCCACCCCGTGACGCCCGCTGTGCCGTGAGCCTATGACTCGCGCTCGTGCTGTCAACACGTGCGCGTCACACCGCACGACTCCGCGTCCACAGCCGGCCCCTCCCAGCGCTGTAGAGCCGCGCCCTTCCTCGCGGCCGCTGCGCCCCCCCACCTCCCCCCCCTTGATCCCAATTGACTCTGATCCCTCTCCCTGCCGTTTCAGCCATAACAGCTCTTTGCCGGAGCACCATCACCGGCCGAAAAAAACAAAGCCCTAAAACAGGGTGCAAACTTTTTGCGTGCCCAATCAGACCCTCACAAAGGATACGCGGCCTTTCCTGCAAAACAAAGGTTAACGTTCAGAGCAGCACAGGGAAGAATGACGAAAGGGGAAGGCCTTGCCCTTTTCAAAGATTGAGACATCACACATCACACGAATGATTTACCCATGACCTCGGGGGGCGAATTTTTTTATTGAGGATGGCTGTCGCGGAGAGTGCTCCACAGCATCTTAAGCCGCAACTTTCCCGCTACAAATAAAATTAGCACTCAGATCACTCCAGCAAATCTTTACTTGTACAGAACACATCTTGCGGTTAGCATTGCGTCATATTCTACTTACAGTAAGTTCGGAAAACCAGATGACTACCTACACATGCCGACTTCCCCTTCAATAACGTCGCAGCTTTCAATTCCAGTTGAAAACGGTTCCTTCCTACGATAATAAAACTTGATAGAGTTGTCCCCGAGCTTCTCTGGCCACTTGATCAACTGACTAGAAAACTCTGATTCTGCACTCTTGAGTTTTGAGCAAAGCACCGCCGGCGGTTCACTTGCCACACGCCCACGCGGCGTGGCACGTATGCCCGATTCATAATACTGATCCATGGATATGAATAAATTTATTACAGAAACAAATCAAATCACATCCCGCAGCGCCTGTGCCGCGCGCTGCACACGGACCGCTTGCGAGAGAGAAATATTCGTCAGGGAGAGCGCGCGCCCAGGCGCTCCCATCCGCGAGATGTGTGTGCGTTGGCGTGCAGCCTGACCCCTTCCTACCATTCCCCAAGTTTGCTCCTCCGTCCCACGATGTCACCTCCCTCTGTCCTGTCGAAACGAATAAAAAACAAAAACCTCCATCCTCACCCATTCCGCCCTGCCTTCGTATCTCCCTGGTACCCATCCCCCGCCCCCACCACCCAAACGTGATCCTCCGCCAGCGCCCCACCTTCCCCACACCCGACCCTCGCGCCCGCACCTCCGTTTACCTTGCCCCCCTAATCCCCCCTCCTTGCTTCTCCCCTCGCTGCAGTTCCCCGCCTCTCTTTCTTAGCATGTCTACCCATCATATCAGTTTTACCCGCTTTTCTGCTAACATCCCCTCATTATGTATCTTCACTCGCCCGCAAAACCTTGTCCGTTCTCGACGCCTTGCCGCCGCCGCAGAGATGACCGTCTAGCATTAACCCGCCGTTGACGGCGTGCTCATCGGAGGTGGGGAAGGTGCGCTCAGCAACATCTGGGACGACGGCTTCTGCCTCACACCCGACGCTCGGCGTGATACACGTCAGGGATGCTTTCAGGTCGCCGTCGGTTTTTGGCGATCACTGATGAACAGTTAATCCCCGACGCCATTGAACAGCTTTTACACCCGCTCTTTTAGCTTCGCTTCTATGGCTAAATCACCTTGTGCACAAGCGTGGATGCAGATGCTTGCTTTGTTATTGAAATGCCAGATCGCCTCGAATTATACGACGGTCGCATGCAAATACGATTCACGAGGGATGGGGACACAGTTTTTTTTTGGTTGAGCTTGTTGTTGCTGTTGCATGGTCCGGCGAGTTGCTTATACACACGCGGACGGAGTTTCGTGAGAAAAAGGCGCGAGCGAGCGAGCCGTGACAGGTGGTGATGGATTCATTTACTATTCGCATCTTGCGATGTAGGAAAGCAATCTACGGCAAACATGTTTTTCTTCGACCTCTGGCAGAAAACAGTTGATGTGAAGGGGTTGCACAGTTGTACTCAAGGTGCTCCTCTCACGCTTCGTAGTTTTGCAAGACTTTTTCGAATCGAATGACCACATATGGATCATGGAAAGACGGGACGGGGCGGGGCGGGGCGGGTCGGGGACAAGACGGGACGAGACGCGTCACTGCCATTCCGACTTACCCCAAAAAGCTTCCCGTGACGTGTCCTTCGTCATGACCGGCGCGGCGGCCGAGGCCATCACTCAAGTCTAAGACTTTGTTCAGCTCCATCGCTGATTGCTCAAACTCACTGCGATCAATGCCTACGTACGTTGTCATAAGTTGTTCAACAGACGTGTTCATTATTTTGCCGAGAAGGGCCAGAAACGAGTCCTCCTCAAGGTCGGTGAAGAGTCGTTTGTCTTTGTACGCGGCCATCATCAAAGTGCCGTAACTCGACCGTAATGACATCATCGTGATATGCTTCAGTTCCGGAAAATTATACTTCATGAAATTTTTAAGCACGCGAGTCACCTGAGACGTCGTGAGGAAATCCCCATTCTCGGTGTGCATCAACAATGGCTTCGATAAATCCTCTGATTCGTCCACCTGGGTCCTCCTCACAATGATGTGTCTCGTCACCTGCTGGTGAAATGCAACATATTTGAAGGCTGATTTGCTCACAAGGACATTAGGAAAGTCCAACGTTCTTTTCGTCTTTTCTGTCGTCGTTCTCATTTCGAAAAAATGAATCCGCCCAGCCTGATCTTGCATGTCCGTCAGCTCGTTCTCATCTGGGCACTGCAAGGTGGTGTAAACCTGTGGACGTTGGCCTGCCGCCGCAAAAATGAGCATCAGTAGTAAGTTCATCGACCACTTTCTGACGATCTCTTTCGAGTCCAGTTTGGCCACGGCCTGTTCGATGCCCTCGGAGTGCTTCGCACTTTCATAAAAAGCAATTAACCCGTCGAGCTCCAGCTTCACGATTTTGAAGCATCGACGGAAATCGTCTTCTAAAAATACGGTCCCCTCCAATACACGCTCATCTAACTGTTTGCGATGATTGGCGCGTGACCTTCCGAGACTTTTCTGGGTATTGTAAACCTTTTGTAGTTTGATTCGGGATCGCTCTGCTTCCGCGTACAGGTGCTGGTCCTTGTCAGAATAGAAAGTTTTGGCGCACTCCGAAATTTTTCGGAGATGAAGTGCCTTGGTCATCACCGTGGTACATTCTCCTTTCGCGTCGTAATAATTCAGAAATATATCCAACACCTCGCGGTCACAAACAGCTCTGTAAAGGGATCCAGGATTGCAGCTTTTTTTGACCTCAGTGAATCCTAGGACGATGTGCAGGCGGAGAAACTGCCCCGCAACGGTCACCAATTGCAAAAAGCTACTGTGGCTCCCCCCGTTCCTGACCTTGCGGTCATATTCCGTAACGTAGATCTCTTGCACGTCCCCGTTATTAAACTGGCTAATCGGGAGGGCTGCGTATGCTGGTTTGCCTTTTACCGCTCGCGTTTCGTCTTCGAGGGTCGCCTCCTGTGAGGTGAAAAAATCGGGGTGGCTGCCCTGCAGTGAGCGCAGATCTTGATACCACGTCTCACGAATGGCGTCCTCTCCTCTTTCAGAGAACGCAAGAGATGTCTTGCGCTTCCTACCGGGGGTCATCTTTCGGCTCGCGAGCTTCGGGCATTTCCGAATCGAGGCATTCCGCGCCCTGGCCATAGCTTGCAACTTCTCCGATATTCTCGCAATCTCTACAGATTTTATCTCGAAATTGATTTCATCGTTTCCACACTCTGATTCATCATTGGCGTCGTTGTCGCCATCTCC